GTACTTCTAAAGTTATTGGAGGACACTGTATCAAAATCATTGCCATTGGATCCCAACTTATCTTTGTCTGTTACATGATTTGTCTGTCTAGATATGCCTCTGCTCTTGTTTGGACATGATTTCCTCAGAAGCTTTGACTATCCCATGCCCATTGTTTTTCTTACCTCTGTAACATTTATATAACTTGGCTTGTCTATGCCTCTTGTTTATAGGGTACCACTGTCATAGCATCTCTGTCATCTGTCCTATATGATGACAAAGAATTCCCCAACCCAGAGAAGTTTGATCCCGGTCACTTTTTGGATGAGAATGGCAAGTTTAAGAAAAGTGACTACTTTTTCCCCTTCTCAACAGGTAATCAAAATTATTTCTTGGTCTTCAGATCTTACAATACACCTCCATCTTCCTTAATGTTCCATGAGCCTTAACTGCAGCAGTTGTGTTGTAGGGTATCCACTGGAGTTAGACACCCAGTGATAAATTGTTCTCTGCACTTTGGTCAGTTGTGGTTTTCTATAATGGTCTCTCTTTGTTGCAAAGAGTTTCATTGATGAACATGAGAGCTACACTTTGTCTGTGGATATAAAGATAAGTAGATCTATGCCCTCACTAGCCCAGGAAAGTTGGGGAAGATTTCTAGTACCAGATAATATTTCCATCCCATTGAGGGGACTTAAAGACAGCCATAGGTTACCAACAAGATTTGTGTGTCCCTATTGCATCTTCAGGGATATTTTGTATTACGACCATGACAGCTAGGTTGGCTGTATTGGTTGCTTCCTTCTCTTCTGAAATTATGTTTCCTAGAAATGACAGGGAAACAACTACAAAACCAATAGGTATGCTAACACAGAAGGGGGAAATGTCATGAGACTCTTTCCTTAAACAAATAACAACAGATAACTAAAGAATCCACAGTGAGAGAAATCTTCATCCCCATTGATGAGCCTCCTAATTGGCTTTATAATTCTAATTGATCAGCTTTGAAATCATATATATATCTATATATAGATATATATATTAACACTAATGGACTCAGACAGTTGTATTTTTATATATATATATATAAAATCTACATATATAGATGTTATATATACATTTAAATGATATATACTCACATATAACTGCATGTTACATTTGTATGTAGCAAAAACAAAGAATAGGAGATCATGATTTGAGAGTAAGTGAGGGGACATGTGGAAAAAATGTTACAGAAAGGAAGAGGAAAGGTGAAATGATGCAATTATATTTGAATTTCAAAAAATTTATCTCTAAGGTAGCAAGGTAACCTTTAGGTATCCCTTGAACATTACAGGTTGTTTTTTCTTAGGATGGTAGATTAGATCTGATCTGATCACCATTCCTGATGCCCATGCATTTTTTTCTGAGATGAAATATTATATCTGCTGAGTCATATTAGTGGTACTCTGGAGTGTTGACTCATCCTTTCCAAATACACAAAGTGAGACCACAATGCAGTGGTATTATGTTTATAGATATCTCATTGAGCTACTATTGAATCCTTCCTACACAACTGGGCACCATGTGTTTAAATAATGAGCCAATGAAGGACATATCATATTCAGTACACATCAAAGATTCTTTTCTAAGCAACTGTCTCTGGTGGTCACTGCATATCCAGTTATAGCTGTGGACTGCCCATGGGGACTCTATGATGATGTCAGGTTTTCTAATTCCAAGAACAGTTTAATTTCTATGATTTAGGACAATCCTCAAGATGATTGCTGGCTTTAGTACTCTAAGTGTTTGCTGAGAGACATGCAAAGGTTTCCTGTAAAGCTTCTCATCTAGGAAGGATCCTGGTTGTCTGCTTATTTAAGCTATTTCTGTTTCTATGGGAAGCAGCCTTGTCTATGCTATGGCACTTTCTCTTTTGCATTTCTCCTTTCAGTGGGAGTATCTTCCATTATCATTGTGTTTGGTTCCAAAGCAGTAGTATTCTACCTCTTCTGTTGTATTGTATATATTCTCTGGAGTTCATCAGCTCTAATTTTGTGTGTTTTTAAATCCCAAGCCTCAGCTAGCTACTCAGCTCCATGAGCAGTTAAATGAGTGTTCCATTGTTTTTATCCTGCGAATGAGAATTCTAGTGTTCAGTATTGCTGTTCCACCCTCTAAAGCTTTGTATCCAAGTATTTTAATACTATGTTTTCTAATATAAGACATGGAAAATGTACCTGTCTTTTTTCCATTTGTCCACCCAACTGTCCATCCATCCATCCATCCATCCATCCATCCATCCATCCATCAATCCATCCATCCATCCATCCATCCATCCATCCATCCATCCATCCATCCATCCATCCATCCATCCATCCATCCATCCATCCATCCATCCATCCATCCATCCATCCATCCATCCATCCATCCATCCATCCATCCATCCATCCATCCATCCATCCATCCATCCATCCATCCATCCATCCATCCATCCATCCATCCATCCATCCATCAAGTCTATCAAAAAGTGACACAAATTCTCTTTTATTATAATTGTACACAGTGTTTGTCTCAGCCAAACACAAGGAGTTAATTATATTCTGTTATTTATTTATTTATTTGCAGGAAAATGGATTTGTGTGGGAGAAGGCCTGGCCCGAATGGAGTTATTTTTATTCCTGACCACCATTTTACAGAACTTTAACCTGAAGTCTCCAGTTGACCTGAAAGACCTTGATATCACCCCAGTTGCCAATGGATTTGTTTCTGTGCCACCTGAGTTCCAAATCTGCTTCACTCCCATCTGAATGTATTTCCCCATTGTACCTACTTCCTTCCTCTAGAGCACAGCTGACCTCTTCTGTCAGACATGCCTCTTTGGCCTCCCATCTCACATTGCTTCATCTCCTCAAGATCTAGGGAATGCCTGTCTTCTAATTGGGGGCAATTTTCAGGGTTAATGTACAAACATATCTACAATTCCCTATGCTGTCCAATGATTTATTGATTTCAGCATTGCCAATTCTTATCTAATGCTGAATTGTTAATACATTCTTACTATAAAACTCATAAATGTGACAGTTCAGCATCACCTAGCCCTGTGTATTTTAAATAAAATCATTATAGTTCTGGTCTGTTTTCAAAGTTTCCTTTCTTTTTTCTCTTATCATTTTATATAATCTCATGTAGTTCAGGCTGTCTCTAAACTCATTGTACAGCTGAACATAACTTAAAATCTTCCTGTCCCACCACTTGAGTTCTGGAATTCTATGTATATACCTGTACAATCTGATCCATTGTCATTTTTTGATCATAAGGCAAGTAGTAATAAATCAGTGTCCCAAGATGCTTTTGTTTCTTTATCATAATATATGCAAAGAAAGTAAGAATGAGTGGTAGAAAGGGTCTTTAGTTGAGCCTCACTGATAATGACTACAAGTTTGGATCTGAATGAGAAAAATGATGCTGTAAAAGGAAATATAAGAAGGACTAGACATAGGATTCCATATTAAGTGTTGATTCCTGTCTCTGAGTTGGTGTTACTCTGAAAATAAACACTTGGCATGATCTTTCCAGTTTCTGATTCTTACCTATTACCAAATATGAATCCATGCTTTCACACGGGAAATACTGTGTTCTATGTATTATCTTTCTCTCCCAAATAATACCAAGTTCTTCTATGAAGAAGGATATTCTAAAGGGCTGTCCTGCCATGTCTTGGCAAGGTTTACAGTCACTCTTTTTAGTGCCCTGTTTGTCCAATTTAGACAAAATATTGTCAGCAGTTGAGGCAAAGGACAGTTTCTTGCCCAATGGCTTACTTTTGCCACAAAGAAAGTAAACTCCATGTGGAGTTTCTCCAATAACCATCATCTTCTCCAATGTAGATTGGTGCTTCCAGGAGCAGAGATATTCTTGTTTTTGTGTTTGTCTAAAATACTTTTTTTTGAAAATACATTTTTTTCATAAAATGTATTCTGATCACAGTTTCTCCTCCCCTAACTCCTCACAGACCCTCTACAGCTCTGTAGTCATCAAACTCTATGCCTTCTCTCACTTTTTATTTAGAAAGCAAACAGACAAATAAAGCAAACAAATCAAAATTTAAAACAAAAAACAACAATGAGTATAAGAAATACAAACAAGTGAAAAAACACATACAAATATAAAACCCAGTAAAACACAAAATTGGGCCGGGCATGGTGGCGCCTGCCTTTAATCCCAGCACTCAAGAGACAGAGGCAGAGGCAGAGGCAGAGGCAGAGGCAGGTAGATGTCTTGAGTTTGGGGCCAGGACTACACCGATGGTGCATATCTCAATAAAAACAGCATAAGGATATAGGTTTTAGAGTCTACCAAAGCCACAGAGAAACCCTGTCTCGAAAAACAAAAAAAACAAAAAAACCCCCCAAAATTGGAAAACATAATACACATGCTAAAGACATGTAAAATTAAAAAATTCAAACAAAGCAACTTGAGATGAAACACATCTGCAAAAATAGCATTGCTGGGTATGGACCTAACATTAAGTGTTGTTTATATACTCAGTGAGACTCCATTGGAGACAACTGATTTTTTCTTTGCAAGCAATTGTCAATTGGTGATAGTGTCTAGGTGTCTACTTCCTGCTCTTTGTGCTGGGACCCTGTCTGGCTTCAACTGGTACAGGCAATGTGCATGCTGCCACAGACTCTATGATGAGCTGATAATCTGTACAGGAATTAATAGAAAATTATGATATTTCAGATATCATGTTGTTTTTGTTAACTAGCCAAGTCTTAGAATAAAAAACTCCTTCATTATTTTCAGTTCAGATAAACCACTGAACTGGTAATCATTCAGTATTTGGACATGTTTTCATCCCAGATGAGAACATTGCTAACTAGATCAAGGTGATCATTTCATAAAACTGCCATGAATAAACTAGAGGGCATTTCAAATTAAAAGAAATGTTCATTTAGAACCAGAACAACCTCCAGGGTGACAGAATAGATTAGAAGCTTCCACTGGGAGCTGGGCGGGGGAGGCCTACATAGTGAGAAGAATCATGGTAACAAGAAACAGGTTATTATTAACAGAAGAACACCACAAATGACAATGAGGTAAAAGGCAGACAAAAAGAAGAGGCTCAGCTGGATAAAGTGAGTAGGAGAACAGAATTAAATGAGTTAAAAAATCCAAAATAAAACAAAACAACAACAAGCCAACAAAAACATGTGTTGTATGAGAACTGATAAATTAGAGAAGCCAGTGTGCCTGTTGCCAGTGTCAAGTGCTGTAAAAGGAGAATGGGTTCAGAATTCTTGACAACAAATACCCAGGTTCTCAGTAATTCAAATGTTACTGGAGAGCAAGTTAATGAAAGCCCCACTACTGACTACAAGCTCATCCTTATTTGTTATGTGATCTTACTAGCTGGCAGTGTCACCTCCCTTTTTTGGACTTGGTATCCCTTCACAGATGAAAAGGCTGAGCAAAATGATTTTCTTTCTGTGCTCCAATTCCATGACTTCTTTGCAATTAAGTTTCTCACTGCATTATTTCCAGAGCACAACAGTAATACTAAGGTCACTGATGTCCACACTGAGTGACCCCATGACCTTTGATCCTGACTACTTTGTAGCTGAGAGTGCAAACTTTAAGCAAAGTAACCACTTCATGATTTTCTCAGCAGGAAACAGAAACTTATTTCCATATGTGCATCAGGGGACAAAAACATATTTAAGGATCAGATGCCATTTATGTCACAACAATTACTGCAGAATTATGCAGTAATTATTTAGCCATCATTTCATAAGGTCAACCCATAAGAATCAAGAAGATTATGTTGGAGTATTAAACAAAGATGTAAGATGTGTTGGAATTAATCCCTTGCAAATGAAGTGGCTGTTTCTTGCTGTAGATTTCGTTCTGTAATTAACTCCCATTTGTTACAAATTTGGCATTTATTTCTCACAGTTAATCACTATTTTAACATTTACTGGGCAAAATTTCCCTTATGTATTTGGGGTATATTGATAATATCCCCTAGTTACGTGCACAACAGCCACACAGTCAAGAAACCACAACCAGGTAACTTGCTATT